ATTCCAAGATTGTGACGAAAGTGCTGGTATGTTTCTGGATTAAATTGTAATTTTCATAATACAACTTTCAATAATTTTCTATCATCAGAAATTGCTTAACAATCTTTACCTAATTAAAATTTTATTAATAATTAAAAAACATCCCAAAATTTAGATACTTGGCGAATGAATATTTGAATTTATTTGAAGAATGTCTGAGTATTTAAATTTAAGAAACCATACTACAACAAAGTGGTTCTACATCATTCAATGAAATTTTAACATTTAACAATGATGAAGCAGTTAGGACGGAAGAAGTTATAACCAGGAATCAAAATCATAAGATATGGAATTTAAGATTTGATCGTGTCCTTAATGACGATATAAGCCGTGATACTGTAATAAGAAATTCAGTTATTTTCAAAATATGGATAAAATTTTAAAATCAGGTACGTACGTACGTACGTACAGACAGTACGTACTTGAATTTTTAATCGAAAGCTACGTATATACAAAAAAAAAACAAAATACTATTACGATAACTTGATTTAAAGCACCGAGTAAAAAAAATTTTATCACTAAATTTTATTTATAAGGCCATGCAAAGTTAGTTTTTCGTTTTGCATTGCATGAAATCTGAAAATTGAGTTGGTCAGTCGGATTTTTTTTTTACATCTACTTTAAAATGAATAGAATCACATTCACATTTTTAAGGCTATGCAAATTTAAGTTTTTTAGCATAACAAGGATCAGAAAATTAGGTTGGGGATATCCTTTGGCGGCTTCTTCACAGAGCCCTCCCACTAGGCTATCGCCTAAGACATGTTTGCAGGTGGTGTGAGGAGAAACCTCAAACTATTGAACGCTTTATTCTTGAATGCCCGATCAGTCAATAGGTTTAGAACTTAGGCTATCGAATGCTAAACAATATTTCTAATATAACAATGCCCACCTCTCTCAAGGATATTATTCTCCCTACCCAACTTCTCTCAGCATGCGCTAAAAGAGCAATCAAGTGGTTAAGCATTAACATAGTATATGAAATATGGTGTTTGTATACCTCCTATAAATGGAGCAACAATACAATAAACACCTTTAATGTCCCAACCATTATAACAAATCATCTAAACAGAGAACTTACTGTTTTCCAATACCTCTATACAATTGTCACGTCTACTATGTCCAAGACTTTTTTTGCAATGTCCAACGTCCAAGTCCAAAAATGTCCAAGCATATTTACACTTATACGTACAAAATTAAAAATTATCTAAAAGTATATAATTACATATAAAATTAGGTGCGCTTAATAAATATATTAGGATATCATAGTAAAATTTTGAATTATTATCAATTTATTTTTTTGTATAACATGTCCAAGATTTTTTCCAAGCATGTCCAATGACAATACTGCTTCTATGTACTGTAAATAAAGGTCTTCGATCGACCTTAAAAGTAATAAGTATTATTGTACTGTACATATTAAATAAGGCGCCATAAAGCGCACCTTATATTTTAAGGTAAATTCAAAAAAAAAAAATAATTAAGTTGGCAGTCATTTTTTTCTGTCGGTCTTATCGAATAATTACCATAAAGTAAGGTACCATCGGTAATACCGGATTAAATGACAGAAAAATAAACGGCAAAAATCGAATAATTAACACAATTGATCGGGTAATATAAAACAAAATCATCCTTGTGTGTCCTAAAGATAAAAATTTATAAATTTTATTTATGTTTACATAAAAATAATTGAATTTGGCTATTCCTCAAAAACCAGTAAGGCAGTCGGTATTCGATATGCTAAACAGGCCTACCGAATAATTGATTGTAGGGGCAATTAATTGCAATTATTTTGAACTCAATTAATTGATTGGTGGCGCA